TTTTTTTTTTTTTTTTTTTTTTTTTTTTTTGGACAATTTTTTTCGGTGGCAACCTTTACAAACCCAAAATTAAACGTTTGATTAAATTTTTGTTTTTGGGGAAAAGAAACAAAAAAAAAAAAAATAAATAAAATAATTTGGCATAATTTTTTATTTAAAAAAAAAAAAAAAAAAAAAAAAAAACTAGATCGTACCTGTGTGTACCGTTAACTATTGCTTCACATAAGCGAAATAAAAAAAAAAAAAAAAACGAGTTTTTTTTTTTTACATCTTCCTCGCGAGAATTGCATCTTTTGTATACAATGCCAAGTAAATCACACTTGAAACTAAGTTTTTAATTATTTAAAAAAAAAAATAATAATAATAATAATAATAATTATTATTATTATTATTATTTATTTTGTTGTAACTGACAAAATAATTTGTGAAAGTTTTGGTGTTAAAAAGAAAGACATATATATATATATATATATATATATATATATAAGCAAGAGATCTATATAATACTTTCACTTTTTTTTTTTTTTTTTTTGTCCAAAAATTACTTACGTTATTCTTGTTATTAATGAATTTCATTTGGGATTTAGATGAGTTTATCACGAGATTTAATATTATTATTATTGTTGTTGTTGGTAGTCTACTTATAATTCCATTACAAAAAAAAAAAAAAAAAATTGAATTAACCTCGTAACCCACTTTTTCGCGGTACAAAAAAACTATCTTTATATATATATATAAATAATTCGTTATAAATTTTATTTAATAAATTTAGCAATAATTCATTTTAAATTTCATAAGAAAATAATAGTATGTATGTATTATTATTATTATTAGTTTTTAAAATATTATTTCAGATGGTTTGGACAGGAAAAAAATTATAACGTGCTAGTAATGGACCTATTAGGGCCGTCTTTGGAAGATTTGTTCAATTTCTGCTCCCGAAGATTTACATTAAAAACAGTTTTAATGCTGGCCGATCAAATGATAGCAAGAATAGAATTCGTACATTGCAAATCCTTTATTCATAGGGACATAAAACCTGATAACTTTTTAATGGGAATCGGAAGGCATTGTAACAAGGTTTGATTTAATTTATGTTTTTATATTAAAATGAAAAAAAATTTAATGACTGACTCATTATTGAAAACTATATATATATATGTAACATGTAGGCAAATATATTTAAAATGGCTGATTTTTTTTTTTTTTTTTTTTTATAGCTTTTTTTGATCGATTTTGGTTTGGCTAAAAAATACAGAGATTTACGAACTCATGTCCATATTCCATACAAGGAAAAAAAAAATCTCACAGGAACAGCAAGATACGCTTCTATAAACGCCCACCTCGGTATAGAACAAAGGTAAAATGAAAAAACCTGGTTTTCTCTCCCCTCTCTTCTCCCCTTGCAGGATTTACTTACATCAACACTCTTTTTTTTTTTTTTTTTGATTTTCAGTCGCAGAGATGATATGGAATCGTTAGGATATGTACTTATGTATTTTAATAGAGGATCCCTACCTTGGCAGGGTTTAAAGGCTGCGACCAAAAAACAAAAATATGAAAAAATCAGTGAGAAAAAAATGTCTACCCCGGTGGAACTTCTCTGTAAGGTAAGGTTAATTAAGGTTTTATCGAAATGACACCTACGGGGGGGTGTCGCCTATATGGAACCCCCTAATTTGTTTTTCTTTTTATTTATTTATAGGGTTATCCCGCCGAATTCGCTATGTATCTGAATTATTGCCGAAGCCTGAGATTTGAAGAATCACCGGATTACATGTACCTGCGGCAGTTGTTCCGTATATTGTTCCGAACTTTGAATCACCAATACGACTATACATTTGATTGGACAATGTTGAAGCAGAAAACAGCATCGACAGCGTCGGGAGTGAGTGGAGGAGGGGGGCCAGCACCGATAACTCAAACACCAGGTAATACGACTGGCCAAAGATCGAATAACGCACCGACGGAAAAATAAATAAATAAATTAATTAATTAATTAAGGTGATATCTATTATTTAATTACTATACGGAATTATAAAAAATGAAGGAAAATGAAAGATTTAAAAACGTGAGAGAAAAAAAAAAAAGAAAGAAAAAAAAAATTTGTCAATGCCTTGCACGGAGCATAAGCATTATAATAAATACATTAAGTTTAGATAGGCATCGATATTTGTGTTTGTCGTCGTGTTTAACGTCTAAAAAAAAAAAAAAATTAATAATTAATTAATTAATTAATTTTTTTAGACATTTAGACATCGAGTTGACGTGCCAGTAAAAAAAAAAAAAAAAAGGAAAAAAAATTGTAAAATAATTTTGTTCAAGTTAAACATCGGAATGGAAACTTTTTCCTTTTTCAATATCGTTATATTCCAATTTGTCTCTCTCTCTCTCTCTCTCTCTCTCTTTTTTATCAATTCCTTATCCTACGCCGTCAATCTCTTAAAACTAAAAATTCTAAATAATAATAATTATATATAATATATATTATACGAGACACTAACGACGTAAATTAATTACTTGTAATAATAATAATAATAATAATAAATAATATGACACCAGGCATTTCTTTTTTTTTTGTTAGTGTAATAAAAAGTATTATTATCATTATGTATGGGAAGAGAAAAAAAAGAAAAAAATGCGTTGTAAACAGGCAAAATTTTTTAAGTTAAATATCATTATTATTATTATTATTATTATTATTATTGTCGTCATCGTCATCAACATCATCATTATTACTATTATTATTATATAGGACTGTTTGCCTTTGATTTGAAAGAAAGAGAAAAAGAAAAGAAAAGAAAAAAAAATATATATATATTGTATTATTCTAGGATGTTTTTACTATTATTATTATTATTATTATTATTAATATTTTTTTTTTGTTAATTAATTAATTAATTAATTAATTATGAGTTGATTGAGTTTAAAAATGGAGTCTCGAAGGGAGAAAAAAAAATTGTGTGTTCCCCTTTTTTTTTTTTTTTTTTGAGTTTGATAATCGGCCATTTTGAAAATAGAAAAGGGAATAAACACAAGAAAAAAGGAAAAAGAAAAAAAATTGTAAAAATCAAATTAAAACCACGTATTAACATTATCATTATTATTAATATTATTATTTTATTTAAAAAATTTTAGTTATTATTATTATTATTGTTAGGTAATTAATTAATTAATTTTTAAAAAAAATTCTTTTAATAGAATTTACACATAGGTTTTGTCCTCATTATTATTATTGTTGTTGTATGCGTGGTGTATCTCTCTCTCTCTCTCTCACTCACTCTCTCACACACACTCTCTCTCTCTCTCTCTCTCACTCACTCTCTCACACACACTCTCTCTCTCTCTCTCTCTACTTATTATATAATTATTACAATTACATAATAAATAAAACATTTGTTTTATTTTATTTTATTTTTTTTTTTTTTTGTAAGAAATGAAAATTATCAATTAATATTATCATTTATCATAATATATAATATTTATAATTTTTATTATAAGTAAATTTTATTAAAAAACGTGATAATGATAATAGTTTTTGTTATAATATATATATAAAAACCAAGGTAATAATGATAATATATTAGTGTAAAATTTTTACATATTAAAGTGTAACATAACAATAATAATGATGATCATGTTAAAATTTAATAGATGATTAAAAAATATTAATTATAGTACCGATGATATTATTATTATTATTATTTTATTTATCTGAGGAGGTAGTAGGGAAAGGCGTGGGTACATGAAGAAACGATGACTCGAATGAATGAATGAAATTATTATTATTATTTGAATGTGAATAAATTTTATTTGTAAATAATTTCTCATTACCATTTATAGTAACATAATCCACCCACCCACATTGATTAAAGAGAAAAACTTTTTGCCCCCTCCCCCCCCCCCCATTATATATACTTTAATTATTAAATTTAAAACAAGATAGTAATAATAATAATAATAATAATAATAATAATTTTATTATATTTGTTTTTATTCCTAATTTTCATCATTATTTCTCCTCATCCCCTATTCTTTCTTTTAGGTGGAGACCGAACCAATTCCAAGCCAACAGTTGTTTCATACAAAGAACGCGGTGACAAGTAAACCCAAATAATAATTAACGAAAAAAAAAATAAAATAAATAAATAAAGAAAAAATATATATATACATATATATATGTAAAACAACAGAATGAGAATAAAGCAACAAACAAACAAACCAACAAACGAACAAACGAAAACCAAAAAAAAAAAAAAAAAAAAAAACAAATGAAAAATGAAAAATTTTCGATGCCTTTGACCATATGAATTATTATTATTATTATTATTATTATTATTATTATTATATTTTGAAATTATTTTTTTGTGGATTTTTTAATTTTTAGGGCGGAATTTTTTTTTGTCTCGAAAAAATTATTATTATTATTATTATTATTATTATTATTATGATTTTAGGATAATACACGAAAGCATATATATATATATAAAAATATAA